GTGTGTGTGTGTGTGTGTGTGTGTGTGTGTGTGTGTGTGTGTGTGTGTGTGTGTGTGTGTGTGTGTACTAACAAGATTTGATTTGATTTTAGATTTAGTGCATTTTACCACAAGTTCTACAGGTCGTGTAGTGACCTTGGACAGTTTAGGTAAGATTCTTTGGAAATTGGACTTGAAAAGTCCAGTGATAGCCATGTATACTGTAACCAAAGATGGATTTTTGACAATTCCTTTCACAAGTATTACTGATTCGTTGTTGGAAAAATTCGCGACAAAGCCAACTGACATTCAATTGTTGTAAGTTAGGTCAATGTTTAAAAAGAAAATTATTTCAGGAGAGACAGTTTGGCATAGAAGATATATGTTTGTAAATTTCATATATAATATGTATAATAGTTAACAATTAAAGTATCTTTTCTTCTTTAGTCCAACTTTGTACGTTGGACAGCATCGATATGGTCTCTATGCGTTACCATCGCTTGTTGATTTGGACACGACAACTATATCTAATAACGTAGGACACTTATTGCTGGAGGGGCCATTGGTGACATCGCATCTTCATGCGGATAATAAAGTACCATTGCCAGGGGATCATGTTTTAATTTCTAATATTGACATAGCTGATGATGATTATCAAAGCGTTAAACATACTGAAAATGTCATTACATTAGGTAATATGCACAATTACGGTTATATTGGATGTATAGCATACATATAATATTGTATATTTTATATCTTTTACAACATTTGTGATTTACTTAGGTCATTACAAAATACCCGCGGAATACAAACCACAAAATCAGCTCCTCCAAATAACTGGGCGATCTGATCCAATAATCTTGGAGACTTCTACATTAAATGTCACTGGGACTAAGTTATCTGTCGCCGTACAATCGGATACGTCCAACGATACTGTACAGTCGGAAAATAGTCAGAATTGGCAGAGAATTGTATCAAAAATGTACAGCGCGACCAAATTTTGGCTCAATCAACAGGAAAACATAGAAATGAAACTAATCATAAGTGTAATTATGTTGACAATTAGCATAATAACTTGTATTGTAATTTGGTTTATATATAAACAATGTAAAGAGCAGTTTCAGCAATTGTCGCAGGTAAGACACTGTATTATAAGATTGGAAAATAACAATGAAATGCAGTATATCCGTATTAGTACATTTAAATTAAATTGATGAAATTAAATTAATTGTTAAGTGTTCACGCGAAAGCAGTCGTACGTATTCTGGTAAACCTGGCAATTTGGTTGTTATGCCGGAAGAGATTGGCGATGGTTTAGTTAAAGTGGGAAAAATTACATTCAACACGAAACAAGTTCTTGGCAAAGGATGCGAAGGAACATTTGTATACAAGTATATAATATTTCTAATGCATAGTGTTTACTGAGAGATTGCTGTATTTGTATATCGATAGATATATTTATTTATAAATATTAATAATCTTAAATTTTAGTTTCGTCTATCAAAAAAATATCTATATATTCTTATTTCTTTGTTTAGAGGTCAATTTGATGGCCGTCCTGTAGCTGTAAAGCGCCTGTTACCAGATTGCTTTACGTTTGCGGATCGAGAAGTAGCGCTCTTAAGAGAATCGGACACTCACGCAAATGTAGTTAGATACTTTTGTACTGAACAAGATCGTATGTTCAGATACATCGCCTTGGAGCTAGCAGAAGCAACTTTGCAGGATTACGTGGCGGGCAAATATGACAGACAAAAGATATCTGTGAAAAATATTTTGCATCAAGCTACATCTGGGTTAGCACATCTTCATTTCTTGGATATTGGTAAGTTTAACTAATTTTATCAACGATATAAACTTTATTTTTAATTGTTTATAATTTAAAAACGATGGATTTCTGAATGCGTTATTTTTAGCTGATTCTAAATTGACAAATTTATTTATAAAATATAATACAAAGGCTGGTATTTATGTCGGTTTTTATATCAAGACCATCTTAATTATAATCCTAAAGATGACATAAATCAGTCAGAACCGACTGATATTCATGGTCGGTTCTTATTTCAAAATCGTAATATCTTAAGGTACTAACATTCTGTTCTGGAATCAGTATTCATAATCTTATGATTCTTATATTTAAGATTGTCTTAAGATATCACAAATAAATCAGAAGATCGCACGCGTATTAGGCCGGTATTTATAGTCAGATCTTATATTTAAGACCGTCTTAAGTATAATCTTAAGATGTCATGAATCAATCAGAGGGCTGCATTAGCGACTTAAGGCGATGCTAAAGCCTCCTGTTTTACATTTCCATTCGGTGAAAAATCTCTGTATTGGATGTACAGATTGCAAAAGTATTATTGCTTAAATTAAAGTACGCACAAACAGGATCTCAGCTGCACTGGATTTCATGAGAAAATCGAAAAAAAGTTTCAGATTCGTTAAAAATTTACTTACTTTTGGCTCGTACAGCTGTCACCTCAGATTAGGGATGTGCGATTTCCATTAATTGTATCGATTTTTGAATCGATTTAAAATCGGATTGATTGAAATCGATCTATTAAAAGAGCGGACCTGAATGAATCGATCTATTGAAGATCGATTCAATTAAAATTTTTTTGTGACATCTCATGAGAAATGTCAATGGAGTAGACATCAAATCGATGACAATTTGATGATTTCTCACTGCGATTGTAGAAATTCAACAAAAACAATTAAATTTTTTTTTCTAGTATTTATTTATACATTTTGTCAGTAGTAATTACTAGTTGTAACTACGGATATTATTAAACCCGATTAATGTTAACCAGTAACGTGTAAATGCAGGCAATGTAGGCACAGTAATGATATTACAACTTTAGATTCTTTGGAACACGACATGTAAGACTAATTTTCAATAAAATAATTAACTATTTTTTATTGTATATATTATAAACTATATTTGTTTAATAGTGCAACAAAATCACAATAAAAATTACTGTATAAAAACATACGACTTTTTAAGTTTTTAAATGCCTATACTTATAAGAATCAAATCTGATAACGGTTGAACGATGTAAGTACGATACAAAATCCACGATAGTTAAAGGTAAAAATAAGGAAATGAAAGAGACCAAGATGAAATGTTACGAATCAACTAACGGGCAGGGCTGCCAGCATTAAGAAACACCACCTGAGTTTATATAGATATTATTTTATCCTTGTTCAACATTCAGTGAACAACAGGAATGAAATGATATCAAAATATATCTTGAATTTCCGAATCCGCTCCTACGTTTCGAAGAACGATCGATCTCCTACTAAATGAATCGATCTACCTTAAAATTGGATACTGGCGAATCGATTAAAAGATCGATCTTTTTTGCAAAAAGATCGATCTTTTAAAAGATTGGATCGAGATCACACATCCCTACCTCAGATATATATTTGCTTGATATAAGAGTTTTAGAGTCCATATCTTGAAAATAAGCGTGCAGCTGAGGTCACATTATTGTAACAAACGATACCGAGTTTGTAGAACTAAGATTGAAAGTCTAGAAAAGAAATATTTCCACCGAATAGAAAATACGTGTATACAGGTGTTTTGCGAAGATTGGGACTGT